AGCTCATGAAATAAGAAAAGAGAAAGAAAATATCTACACATTACATGTAAATAATTTGTGCTATAGAAATAATAACTCATTACCTGAATTAAGAAGTTTGCATCCTAACAGTGCAAGCTCAAACAAGTTTGCAAAGTTCTTAGTCAAAAGAACCAAATCATTATTAGTCATCCAAGGACTTACCCTTTCAAGCCTCAATTTCCTCAGTTGGCATAGAGAAGTAGAAGCTTGATATGGATATATCACCAAGACAGTAGCACAAAGCCATTGTTTGCAATTGCCTCAAGGATTTCATTATGTTGATTATGGTGCAATCAGATATTACCTACAAAGAACTCCAACGATTAAAAAATATATATCTATATGAATGGGTTTCAACAATATGAAATGACTAAAATAGATGCTAATGGAGGACACTCAAGTCAAGAACAGCTAAATTTTTGATGGACAACACATGGCTGGACTCAACCAATTTCACAAAATTAAATAGTATCCCTAAAATTTAATTTTCAATCTTATAAAAAATATCTACATAATCTCAAACCTTAATTGATAAAAATTGGGAAAGCATTATTATAGAAGCTGATGGAAACTGTACCAACTCAAATTCAAAGAATTTTAGGTTTCTTTGCGACCATATGATCCAACAATCAAATAATTTGAAGCACTCCAATTGGTTTCCTTGCATAATTCTGGCTTCTCAGAGAAGCCATAAAGAAGAGCCTCTTTCCAATTATCATCTCTAGCTTCAACCGGCTCTGCAAATAAAGAACTAGCCTCCATCAATTGAGAGCTTGGTCCCAGCACCATACAGCAATCCGCATAATAGCCATATCGAAGGCTTACTGACACTGCAACCCAATAAAAAGGAAATGCTTTATTTCAAACCCAAGGGTCAGGGAAACTAGACAATTGCAAAACATGTGAAATAACCAAAACCTTAAGCTCCAAAGCTGTATATAGGAAGGCAAAGGAAGTACAGAGCTTGGGGAGCAAAGCAGGGAACCTTTAGCACAGCATGGCAAAGGAAGCTTCAGCCGTCTGGTAATAGCATGAGAAAGGATAGCAAAGTGGGGAAATTTTGGTAAAGTGATGAGCCATGCACATGGGCTAGGGAATTCGAGTCATATGCATCCGGTTTTTAAATTAAGTTGGGAAACTTTTAAAATTAGTTTAAATGGGTGCTAGACTTGGCTAAAGCTTATTTTATTTTTCATCAAAACACAAGTTCAAGTTCTTATATCAACAAAAATTTAAATGTTTTAAAATTTATTAATAAGTAAATAATTGTTAATTATAATAGAATTTTAATATATTATATTAATAATATATATTTTTATATTTTCTAATATATTAGATATTAATGCATAATATAATATAGTTAATATTATTAAATTGTAATCAAAACTAATCTTATTTTGTAATTTATTTATAATATATTGTTTATTAATTATTAAATAAATTTATTATTTTGTAAAATATTAATTATTTATATATAATAAGTACAAGTAACATGTTAATTTTATATAGTATATATTT